GCTCGTATGTTTGTACATTGGGCGATGTTAGACGGTTTGAAAAGTTATCTTTAGAAAAGAGCAGTTAGTGCCATGTAATTCATACATTAACGTAATAAATATTTATCTATGGAAGGATGACTTCAGAGTTATTAGTGATTTCTTTTTAAAACGCATTTATTATCTTTTCTGTTTAACACGGCTTGATAATGAACAGAAGTGTAGTTAATATTAACTATCGTTGCTATCTTCATGTTCAGTGCTAGGCTAAACGATAAATTTATACACAAAGTAATAAAATACAACTAATTGTTTTCCAGAAAAGATACAATTTCTCAGTTCTAATAGATTATTGTAGCGATCATTTAGTTTGAGAGAGAGAGAGAGAGAGAGAGAGAGAGAGAGAGAGAGAGAGAGAGAGAGAGAGAGAGAGAGAGAGAAGAGAAAGAAATAGAGAATAAAACGTGAAGTGAGTGAGAGAAAGAGAGAGCGTGAGAAAGAGTTATTTAGATTCTTATCCCTTCATCGCACAAAGATCCATTTGAATTAAACTTTCCATACCTCATGTATATGGAAATATGCTAGAATTTTGCGTTCGACTCACACTTTTGAGAGAGTGAGAGAGAGAGGCGGGAGAAAAAGAATGAGGGAAAGAAACAGATAGGAGGAATAAAGAGATAGAGTGAGAGGCGAGAAAAGGAGAGAGGGAGAGAGAGAGAGAAAGAAAGAGAGAGAGAGTGAGAAAGTAAGATAATCAGAGGCGCAAGAAAGAAAGGAAAAGAGGAAAAATAACAGAAAGAGAGAGAGAGAGAGAGATATAGTGAGAGAGGGAGTGAGAGAGATAGAGAGAGAGAGTGAGAAGTGAGAGAAGGAGAGAGAGAGAGAGAAAGTAAAATAATCACAGGCGCAAAAAAGAAAGGAAAAGAGGAAAAATAACAGAAAGAGAGAGAGAGAGAGAGAGAGAGAGAGGAGATTATTAAGTTAACTAATTTTCAAAAATGTTAAGTTTGTTGTTAATCTGTTCTCCGCGTAGATGTTCGTAGAAAAGACAATTTCGCACTCACACATTAGTTTCACTGCTTCACGGCAAAACATGAAAATGCAATGTCACCTGTTCCTAACCCTAAAACCACCTAATCTTACCTTGCCCATTACCGTAACCATTTTTAACCCAACTCAAACCCGACCCCTGACCTAATCTTGCCCAAACTATCCTAACCATACCCGTCTCTAACCCTACTTGCCTATCCATTCCCTAATCTAACGTACCATAACCAGTCCACACTCCTAACTCTGCTTAATACATCTTTACCTAATCCTAAGTATTTCTCGGTAACGCAAAATCGATGACGAGAAAATTATCACGGGAAAATGTATGTACATGTCCATGTTAACAAAAGAACCGTGAAAACCTTCAATGAAGATTTAAAATAACATCTGGTACAGGGAATTCATGTCCTTATTTTATCCGACAATCCACTTTAGGAAAACGTTTAAATTTACGAAAGATTTTGTAAAATTGCATGAGATTTAAATATACTACTAATTAAGCAATATTAAATAAATGAATTAATTACATAGATCCAGTGTTTTTAGCAAAAGGCAGCTTCTCATGGACATTATGTAAGTGTACAAATTGGGAAAATTTAATTTTCCCCTAATGGAAGTTTTGTCGACACCTGTTCGTAATTAGTGGATTTTATCCGTTGTGGAAGTGTTCAAAACGCTTGCATCCAAAGCAATTAAGTAATTTATGGGAATATCAATGTTATCTAACCCGTCCCTAACTAACTTTACTCGACCTAATCCTAATCTATTTTAGGACGTTTAAATTTGAAGAAGATACTGCCAAATATGCGGTTTAAATAGGTTATTTAATTTATAAGGTACTAAAGTAAATGAATAAATAAAGTGTATTAGATATTAGAGCAAATATTTCGGCTTTTTTTTACTTACCACTATACATTCTCGTTTGCAATTTTCTGAACCTCTACACTGAATTTTAGGTCCTAACCGTTAAATATAACTCATGTTCTATACTTTATGAAAAGTATAAAGTATGTATAAATTATGTTTCATAATAAAAAAGCACAGTTTGTTAGATATTAAAAAACAAAAAATATTTTAGTTTTGTGTTTCAACTCTTTCTTCTTCCATCGTGAACATGTTCATAATCTCTACACAAAATTGTAATATCCTTAAACAAATTAGGATCCCAGCGGTTTTGTTAAACGCCAACCTCCCCTGGGCAGAATATGAACGGTCAAATTAGGGAAATTAATTTATCCCAGGTGTAACTTTCGTCAAGACACCTCCTGGCTCCTGTTCGTTCAGGCTATACCAAATATAAGCTGCATTGTACAGAAGAATTATAATGATATAAAAACAATGTAATTACTAGAAAATATTTTATCCCGACTCAGCCGTTACCAGTCAAGACTCAACGAAGTCACAAGTGGTCCAATTCACTTACCGTCGCCTGTCAAATGAAGCAATTTTGTAGCAGGGAAAAACCGTAATATCTACAATATCGGTGCTGAAAGAACCTGGACCAAAAGTTAATATGGGAAACACATTAAAAATTTAAGAGTCGGCATCGAATGTACACATTGAAATATCTCCTCGCCAGTAAAACCATCCCTCTCCACGTAAAGCGGCATTTGCAAAATGACCATAAGGCCTATCATCGGCACCATATGATCATCGGTATCTGATTCACAAATTAAAACGGTGCGGACCATTCTCTGTGGTATGTTCGGAACCGTATTATCCGCAAAGACTTGGACATACCTAACGGTGATCAAGGACACCTAAAGTCGACACCACCGGTCCATCAAGGCACACCACGACCAAATAATGCAAGAAATTACCAAGCACCAACCAACTTCAAGATCACAAACACGGCTGAAAAGGAAGAGACACTACGACCTTGTACCATCCTAAACTCGTATATATTACTGTTAAATAATTAATTTTGTAAGCTATTGTTACCAAATTTATTAATAATCCAATTAAGTGAGGAACGCCTCCTAGGCATGTTTCAAGTCATATTTTATACAGGGCTACTCGTGTTACATACTTTGCCAGTAGTACATTCATGAAAACCAATTAAGTCCTAATTAACTATGGTACGAATCCAACAGTTTCGGAGTTATTCCACTTTTTCTGATTTTTTAAAATTTCACGACCTTGCTTCAAATAAACAATGATAACTCCAAAATTAAAAAGCTCTGGAGAAATCCGTTGAGGCATTGAAAAGTACGTTAAATTTCCAGTATGTTGTAATCAATATTAAACTTGTAAACGTTAGTGAAATAAGGTTTTAGTAGCGAGAACTTTGAAAAATAATTTTCTTTTTTCAAAGTTGAAAAACTTACTATGGTGATTCTAAACTACTATTTCCAAACCTAGAGACCAGCAAATTTCAGAAAACGTACTCCATTTAACATCCTTTCTAGTGGTGCAATTGCTTTTTTAATTACTTTTTTTCCACCTTCAACCACTTTTATCTTTTCCTTCATCAATTTCTTCATATTTGAAAAAAGTAATTAAAAAAAGCAATTGGACCACTACAAAGGATATTAAATGGAGCCCGTTTTCTGAAATTTGCTGGTCTTTAGATATGGAAATAGTACGTTACCATAGTACGTTTTTCAACTTTGAAAAAAAAAAATATTTTTCAAAGTTCTCGCTACTAAAAAAGCTTATTTCAAGAACGTTTACAAGTTTATTATTAATCACATCTTATTGGAAATTTAACGCAGTTTTCAAATGTATCAGCGGATTTGTCCAAAACCTTTTAGTTTTGGAGTTATCATTGTTTATTTGAAGCAAGGTGGTGGAATCTTAAAAAATCAGAAAAAGTGAAATAATTCCGAAACTGTTGAGATTCGGACCATAGTTAATTAGAGCTTTTTGGTTCCATTTTGAATGTAGAATCACTGGCAAAGTTTGTAACACGAGTAGCCGAACACCCTGTATTGAGTAAACGATGACAACAGTGCTGTGCAATAAAGTTTAAAAAAACAGCGGAAAATTTCAATCGGAAGTGTTAAACATGTGTTCGATATGTTTAATAAAATAATTGTACAAACTACAAAGTATACTGTAATTTTTTTAAAAAAATAATGAAGAAACGAACTTATTTTCAATTTAGTACAAAATAAAGAGTTGATCTTGTGCAACAGTTCATAAAAGTGCCTTTTGAGGTAGTCATGCCGTTTTGTACTTTGGGGCTTATATTCACCTATTTTCTTCTATCTACACCGTATATCAAACGATATTCAAATATCCATTTTAGGTTATGCTTGGACGGTGAAAAATCAATTTCTATTTTCAGTCATTTATTTAGTGTGCATCATTCATCACGCGAGGCTTATTCCTTTCAATTTCGATACGCCTTTACATTTTCCTCGCTGGAACGGATTTGATAACTAAACAATAGGGTTCTTTTTTATATGCAACCGATTAAACCCATAGATTTAGGCCTTTCGATAATCGTTATCGTAAAGACGCTTTTATTGTCTGTTTTTTTACATTAGGCCAATCGTTTGCCGACCGTTCTTCAATCAGAAGAACACCTCCTGTTCCTAACGCACGTTTTGTCCTAACGCAATCCACCACGGCGGATGACAAACGATCTGACAGCTGACAACAAAACTTTAATGGATCTGAAATATACAATAACAAAAAAATGAGAGAAAAGGTCATTTGTCTGTTCAATGCTTGAAGTTATTCTTTATCCACTTGATTACAGAATAAGGCCTGTTGGGTGGAGACATTTTCATCTTTAACTATCTTCTTGTACAATGACAATTAAAGAAATAAAGCCAAAAAATCATTAATGTTTTTTTAATAGAATTTTCAGGTCTCGAGGGGGGTTAAATAACACAAACCTTTCTGTATCCATAGGAGAAATTTGTTTGATTTTATTTTAAGGCTTTAAAGCTATGTTTAATTGATCAAAGTTTTTTGGTGAAAAAGTTCTCTTATGTTATACATATTTAAATAAAATATTTATTTAAAAAAACAAAACATGTAGTTTAAGAATAGTTTTATTGGCAAGTATGTATGACAGAATTAGCAAGGAATATGGTCCAGTGTGTTTATTTTTCTTGAAAAACGGTATCCAAGTTTGTTAGAACTCATTCTTTCAAAGTGCAGTGCTTTTGAAAACAAATGCTATAAGATTTAAATCCGAGTGGTAGGTTGCATTCGGTGTTCGGGAACTTTTCAACATCAAGTCCTGAGCTTTAGTTAAAACAAGAGTCAACTTGGACAAAAAACAAAAATCCAAAAGAAGCTAATCTACTAAATTGTACTTGCAGAAATAGGCGAAGGGTCGGGGGAGGATGACGTCCCGGGCGAAGGAAAAAGTGGTCTCGGCTTTCAACCGTATCTTCAGGGGGGCGGAACGACTGGAAAAGGAGCCCGGGGCCGGGGGCGTCCAGGGTGGCTCCCCCGGGAGGCGGCTTATAAGACACGCTGGCTACCACGTTACGCCGGCTGAGGATGGCAAGCCGGGAACCTCCAGGCCGTCCTCCCAAGGATTTTTCAAAAAGAAACCATCCAACAAAGGTAAGTTGGATACACGTCCGAGACACGTGGATGTTTATCTGTTAAACATGACTTCTTCACTTCCGCCCTCGTTGTTTCAATTTTTAAAAAAAATTGTCAACTATTTGAATCATATGGTATACATTTTCTTTCTTTTTTTTTCTTCATTTCAAAACATCATTAAATAAGTTAAAAGACAAATGAGCTTAACAGGAAAGGAAAACGCCATCTTGTAAATTTTTTGCACAAGTTTCCTATATCTTAAAATGTCCTATTGATCAAATAGCTAAAAAGAAAGATAAATTCTAATTTAATAGATAACTTATTATCACTTTAAAAGTAACTTATAATATACAAAATAGTTATGCAAAGCTTTAACAGGTAATCGGGTCCTAGTATCCCCAAGCAACCCACCAGCAACAGCCACAACGGCACTGTTCAGATTTGATCACTACCCATTTGCATATAATTTTTATTATCCTATTACTAGACACATACGTTGGATGTGCCCCATCCCTCATGGAGCAAATCCAACTCTACATCGTTCCTGTCCAATACAAGAGGCCCACCATCCCAGCCACCCACTGGGCGACTGCCAGACCCGAACACCCTTAAGCCCAATTAATTTCTTGCTATTAAAATTTAATTGTTCTTTCTTTTATAAATTTATACATATATTTATATATTTCTGTCTTCTAGACTTAGTATTTGGACATAATTAAATGGACAATTCATCAAGCTTGTCACTTTTTCGAGCATGTCTTTTATATGCTTACTACGTTTAGAGTAGTTTATAATTATATGCTCTGGTGTTTCTTCTATCTTACACATATGAAAAAATACAGGTATGAAAAAAAGTTGAATGTCAAAAACATATCAAGGACAATTTCCTTTCTCAATAAAAAAAAAATACCGAACAAAAAATCATGAAAAATTTTAAAATCACATTCAATCCAATAATAATGAGGAAATAATAAAATCACACTACAAACCTGTATCAAAAATTATAGAAATTGTGTAACAATAAGGTAAAAATATATAAACTTACATAACTAATTAATATTCACATATAAACATTCACTTTATAAAGATTTGCATGATATTGAATATAAGTAAAACAGATAATACAATAACAGATCAGAGCAAATTCATAGAAAACACAATTGGATTTTAATTAACAAGGTCCGTACATAATTTCGAATATACATTTGTGTACTTCAAAAGAAGAAACGATTCAAAATGGCTAAAAAATACTATTAATTATGACAGTGAAGAGTGACGAAATCCCACCTTGTACCAATTCAATGCATTCAATAAAGTTTTCAAAAAATACTTTCACACTAAAAAACAAAACACAAGTACGATGCCCTCTGAAAGAAAATCTCACAAACTTTACCAATACAGTTAGAAACTACGCAAAAAGAGTCACACAAAACTTTCCAAAAGCAAAATATGTAAAACTTTTAAAAACAAAACTTAATTAAAAATAAAAACCTATCCAAACTACCAACATAACGGAAATATAAAAAAATGGGCATACTAAAACTGCAAAAAATAAAAATGTAACACTCAATAGAAAAAAAATCTCATTTGCACACAAATAAATTTAAATTTATAGACATTCATTTACCCAGTAAAATAGAAAAAAACTGCATAATATCAAAGGTAAATCAATGAGCAGACTCAATTGTCTGGAACGTTGCACAAAAAATTGAATCCATAATTAACAAGCGAGAGGAGAAAAACAGACAGGCCAGGACACTCAGAGAATATACATATAATATATAATAAAACAATTAATATATAAAAAATATAAATAAAATTTAATGAAATAATTTAAAAAATCATTAATTAAATGGTAATTATTATTTAATAGGTTAATTCCTTTCTGCCAGGGAGATCTTTTATTAAAATGCTTGTAAAAGAGCTATCTACCCCATTCCAAGTTAATTTTGGTTTGCCTAGGGCTCTCATTGAGGATCTCCAATGATGAGTCGGTCGTTAATAGCACATAATTTTCTCTCTTAGTTGATGGCCTAAAATTATTTTGCCAAATTTTCTGGATCAATGTAGTTTACTTTAGGAAAATCTGGACGAAAATTGTACAAAAATCAAATAATCTTAAATTAAATGGGAATAAGTTTAAGGTCATAAGTTGTAAAAAAACAACCTGCAAATGAGATTGATATTGGTACATAAACATGATAGAAGAAACATCTCCCTTATCCTGGAGGCTGCTTTACCTTGAAAGTTAAAAAAAAACCTTGGCTTAAGCTTTGTTTTTCAGATACTTATCACATAAAATTGTTTCTCCAAATATCTTGTCCACCTATGGTTTTAAAGTCCTGCATCACCAAATTGTTCCCATGCGTTGTTCTGTGCCCCCCCCCCCATCATAGGACTAATCTTGTCTCTCTTGTGTGGTACAGGACCTCAGTCAATATGGCAAGAAAATTCTATGCCATCTTATAAAACGAAAATTTGATTAGCTTTAAAACCTTTATAGGTAATCAGGTGGCTCTAAAAACAACTACCTCATCCATAGTAAAGTCCATAGTCATTTAGGATTGCATCAAGGCCCTAACAGATATTGTTGACAACACCAAACTCAGCCTTGTTTATATACCAGGACAGAGGAGCAACGAGGAGGCTGACAAATTGTCCAAGGATAGAACTCAATGATGACACCTGTTGCCCCCTAAACATACCAAAATGTCAAAAAGTAGATTCAATGGATGAAAAATAAGTCATCAATTCATTGGGAATATATTTTTGGCATGTTTAGCAAAGGGCCACCACAGAAATTAACGGCAGCATTACTAAACCTAGGATGTTTAAGGCTAGAAGAATTGGACTTCTGACTCTGGAGGCATACATATAGACTCGAAGCAGCAGAAACAAGCCTGTTCATTGCCAGGAAGAAGAAGAAACAGCAGAACATGTCCTCTGTTGTGTGAAGGCCTATGCAGGCTAAAATTCGTACTCCTGGGAGAGGAAAAGCCCTGACCTGAAAGAGAAGAGGGAGGCTTTGTCCAAGCTTTGGGATCTGATAAAAAGCCTGCTTAATAAAGCTCTAGATAATATCGGAGATTGCACATTAAGCAAATGTTCATTGCGGTGCATTAGATCAAAAAGAAAATTACCCTTTTTAATTTTTGGAGCCCTATTTTATTTTTATATTAGTTTATTTTTTTACTATAGACTTCGGTTTTTTTTATTTAGTTTAGTTTTATGTCAATTTTATACCATTCTTTTTCATTTGTTATTCAGGATTGTAAACATTTCACCTGTATTCAGTTTTTTCTTACCAACCATGGGTAGCCAGTAAAAGTAAGTGATTACAGTAGCCAAGTGGTCAGCGTGACCTCAGCTCGTAGACCCCATGGTCATGGGTTCAATTCCCACCATCGCCCCTGGCGCTTTTTTCATGATACCCTTTCTCCCCAAATAAAATAAATATACGTATGCACAAAAATATATTTAAAAAATATTTCTTACATGTTTATACTTTTTTTAAATATCTGAATTGATCCTTGCAGTTATTGTATGATTTTTGTCAAATCTATAAGTCCAAAAATTATTTGTTCAAGAAGGAGCACCAGCAATTGATCCCAGTTGCCAAAAATCCGTCCGTACCAGGAGGTTAATGAAAGAGCTTCAGGATATTGAGAGGAGCCAACAAAAAGATTCTCCGATCTTCACTGTCGAGCTGATAAATGATAACCTTTATGACTGGCATGTCCGACTCTACGGGATAGATGAGGAATCCGAGCTAGCAGCTGATATGAGAGAGTTCGGCATCAAGTGCATATCACTCCAGTTAACATTTCCGGAGAATTTCCCATTTGTCCCACCATTTATGAGGGTAGTTACGCCGAGGATCGAAAAAGGGTTTGTTATGGAAGGCGGAGCCATTTGCATGGAACTCCTTACGCCGAGAGGATGGGCAAGTGCCTATACGGTTGAAGCAATTGTAATGCAGTTTGCAGCAAGCATTGTCAAAGGACAGGTAACAAATCACAACACTCGAAAAAATGGCAAACTTTATTTTTCTATAAATTTTATTTCAGGGAAGAATTTCTAAAAAAACCAAAAGTAGCAGCAAAGATTTCAACCGTCATTCAGCAGAAGAGTCCTTCCGAAGCCTTGTTAAGACTCACGATAAGTACGGTTGGGTGACACCACCTTTGGCTGATGGTTAAATGAGATACCGTCTTAATTTGATAGTATAAAACAATATATTTTATCATGTTAGTCTTCATATTGAATGTTAACTACTACATCCTTTATATTTGTATGAGTGAACTTCATTGTAGTCTTATTTAGTAGCTCAGAAAGCTTTTCCACTTCTAAAAATCATAATTTATGACTTGACAATTGATTTTTTTTTCTCACAGTATCGCTGCCCAAAATTTAATGTTCACCTCATGATAACAAACCCTAAATACTTAGAAAGTCACCACTGTGAAATTTATAAGTAGTGGTTGTGGCATTTTCCCTCATTAAGAATATTACTTTAAAAACTGAGGATTTATTAAGTTAATAGTTTTAAGAAAAATTTTACTATTTACTATTTGAGTGTACAGGTATTATTGACATTCCAGAAAAAAATGTTACCAATAATTAGTAAGAAAATGTTTCTAGAAATAGTTGGCATTTCTAAAACTAAATTTTTTAATATTATTATATTTATTTCTGTAATTACCTTTCTCTTCTTTCATTTTGTGTTTAAGTTAATGGTGTACGGTTTAAATGATTATTTTTACAAGTCAGTTAATGGTTTTTCTCTTTTTAAAAACTTTCTCTTCTATTATGACATTTTTAAAAATAAATGTGTTCATATGACATTAAAAGTATTATATGATAATTAATTAATATTTTTTGGGGGTGAAAGCCACATTGAGTTTTTTTAGAGTAAGGTATTATAATTATAATTGTGCCAAAGTTATATTAGGCGTTACTTAATAGGTGCATTTTCTCATCATATATCAAATTTGATCCTCTTTGGTTTTTTCAAAACATTTGACCCTACACAGAACAGCATTTTCCAATAACACAGGGTAAACCCGGGAATAAATTTTAAAAAAATGAAGTGAAAATCGTTTAAAAAACCCATTTCATTGCTCAAAATATTGACACGCTATCCTTGTTGTATTTAATGTGTAATTAAATGTATTTGTATTTCATGGTTAAATATTGTTAAATGTACACAATTAAAAAAAATAATTAATACATTTTAAAAAAGTACGGGAAGATGGCAAAATAGCTGATGTGATAATTTTAGTAAGTAGTTTATGTTGTTTTTTCTTTCCTTATATTTCATTTTATTTTATTTTTTATAGTTAATAATAGTATAGGAGTATAAGAAAAGTCAAACTTGATCAGGTTTTAATACTTGATTTATTGAAATAGACTGATTTGACTAATAAAAATTTACATTTATTTATTAAAACAATAATTGCTTTTAAGAATAATCTAGTTATTACAAATAATTAATTTTAATTAAGGAGTTCACATTTTATTTGAAATGCAAACTTACAACACTTGAAAAGTAAACTATTATTTTCAGATAGTTGACTACTGAAATAAATTGTTTGCCCTAATATAATTTTAATAATTTAATAATAAAACATTAAGAATAATAAAACAAAAACAGAATTACATTGTTAGTCCTCATAAATTCTGCGTCCAAAAGGGTTGTGAGCCATAAGGGAAATAATTTTGTCCTAAGAAATTTTGTTATTCAAAAAGACTGTAAATACTTAATTTTTTAGTCGTTTAAAGTTAAAATAAAAGCTGTGTTGCTTAAGTGTTATGTAGTTTCAGGATACTTTTATCTACAGTGTATTTTTAAATGTTTTCCTATAATTAAAACAAATTTGATAAGAGAAAACAATATACAAAGATTTTATAAAGTTGACAGATTTTGTATTCTCTTATCAATCGCATGAAATTTTACCTACAAATTGGTGTTTTTAATAAGTCCCCGTTATGATAAACGCAAAGGGATGAGTTATATGTAAAATATCTTATATGTTGTGCAATTGTTATGTCAAATCATGTTAGCCCCAATAGAAAACAAAATATATGCATGAAAATTGTTGTTTTATATTTTTGATGTAATAATTTATCTGTTTTTAGTACAATATAATAAATGTATAATTGAAATGTATTATATGTTAAAGTCAAACAAGACCAACTTGTTACTTTTTTAGTTTTGCATCTAACCATAAATTTAACCTGGGTCATCAATTTTTTTATTATTAAGTTAATGTTTCTAGTTTTGAATTTTCTTAAGTTTTATAGTAAACCAGCATTACACTTGAATAATGAAGACTTATTCAAGAGATTTTTTGATTCAATGAATTGTTTAGTTAGTTTTAAACATTCTTGTGGCGATTAAAAAGCAGCAAATATCACAATATGTATAAATTGTCTGCACGCAGTTCTAATTAACATTAAACAAATCAATTAACTATATTTTAAGTTTGGGGTACTCGGAGGGTGAGGCCCTGTGGGGATGGTTTGGTTTGTGGACAGTGGGGAACGGCTCTGCTCTTGCTGGACGTGTATATGCCCATACTGCTGGGTGGTGGTGGACTTTTCCAAGGGTCAGGGGCAGTCTGTGGTAAGGAAAGAGGGCAGTATGACACCATTTTAAATGGGCAGCCTCAATATGCTATGTGGCTAGTCTCAGGGGCCAGTTCGGCTGTCCACCCAATATTAGTCCAAAGTCCAAATAAAAATACATTTAAAAAAACAGGGACAAAATATGGTATTTTTTGATATCTATATTGTGTGTGTTATACAGTTTTGTTGAGATTATTTATACAGTTTACATTCTACTTGAAGTATAAAACAAATAAAACAGAAAGTTTAGGTATATGATTTTATTTTAATTACAGCACACATGTATTACATTTTGTATATGTACATGTATTATATTTTTATATTATATACAATTGGTTTGAAATAAATGTTTTTCCATTTTCTAGTTTATGTCTAAACTGTAGGCAGTCTTACTGAAAGATTGGCAACTACATACGATACACTAGCCCAGAGTGCAAGGCATTTATCAAGTTCCTTCGAATTTTCAACTGTCATTCTATCTCCATCGCTGTGATGGAACCAGAAATATTTTTCGTTTGCATTTGCAAGTGCTGCAAGTGGTACTGGGCTGTTCGCCCAGACCATTACATCAGAGCCAATATCATTTGAAAGGGTAAAATCAGTCGCATTCATTGGTGTCATCAATCTGAAAGTTATTGAAAATTATGAAACTCAGAGAAAATTTAAGTAAAACTACGTACTTCATAACTTCCTTCATGATGCACACTGCTTTTGGAACACCTTTAAATGAGATTCCACGGGGACTAAAAGTGCCTTCGTCGCTTTCCATAGCAAGGACCAAATTATTCACCGGATTTGCGTTTTTGTACGCAGCCGCCCCAATCAAACCTTCTTCTTCTCCAGTCCACAAAACAGCTCTGCAAAATATTGAACATGAATTGTGATTTGGTAACAAGCTTATTCTTCATACCTTACTGTCCTTTTTGGTACAAGTCCTAATTGTTTCAGCAGAACAATAGAATACCAAGAAATGAAGGCACCACCACCATCGTCCATAGCACCATCACCTACATCCCAGCTGTCAAGATGGCCAGAAACTAACACATATTCATCTTTGTTTTCATGTCCAGTTACTTCAACAACGGTATTTCTTGACTGAACTGGATCCATCATATTTGCCTCCATCTTTAGATTTATTTCAATTTCTTCGCCTACATGATTCATGTTAGTGGATTCAAAGTTTAAACAGACAAATTCAGTGTACCTCGCTTTGACATTCTCAAAAGCATTTCAGCATCTTCAACAGTAATAGCAGCAGTTGGTATTTGTTTGACACCTTTCTTGTAAGCTTGCCAGCCAGTGTGAGGGCTGCTGATCGAAAATGGTGTAATTGACCTGATCAATGAAGCTACACCTCCAGCTTCAGCAGTCTTGACAGCTGCGTTCACACGATAAGTAACTGTTTTGCCATAGCTTTCCCATTTTTCTACAAAGACGACTATTTTCCCTTTTGCCTGAAATTGAAGTGAGCTCAATGATTACAATATGAATATGATCAAAACGAAGTTACCTCGTTTGCTCTATTCTCAAGTTCTTTGAATGACTGTACTACCAAGACTTTTGCTGTAATACCATCCTTTGGTGTGCTCACACTCCCTCCTAAGCCAAGCAATTTCAGGTTGGCCTGCCTAGGCTTCAAAAGTGTCGCTTCTTCATGGCCCCTGTTTGAAAATTAAAACTTCCTATATTTTATGCAGTACAATAAACCTTTACATATTTTGAATATAATCAAGATCTAGACCAAATATTACTTTTGGTGATGGTATAATTATTTCTTATACATTTAACGGGTAGTTTGTCATTAAGAAATTCTCTATGACAGAAAATATAGAACTTTAATTTTTAATTTTACACTGTTCATATATGCACATTTGCTTGAGAATTCCAAATTTGAATGTTTGCAGTGATAAATTTGGATTTGGGATTTTGGAAAATCCTATAAACTGTGGATACCCCAAGGGAAAGAACTATATGCAATAGAAAGCAAATACATCAAGAGTTTATAACTTGACTATGAAATCCCACAATTTTAGATTAAATTTTCCCACTTGAACAGATTAATTCATATATGTTTAGTTGTCACAATTGACCATATTAATTATTTCAATCAATTATTCTTTCTATCTAAGGTATTGTTTAGATGAAAAAGCTAGTGTCATGAGCGGGATTCGGGGCTTCAAACCCACGACCTTCGGCTACCTTGTCAAACCTAGCCGAAGGTCGTGCGTTCAAATCCCCGAATCCTGCTCATGACACTAGCTTTTTCATCTTAACCAAAACCTTTGATAGAAAGAATAATTAATTGAAATTCAAAATAGATTTTTTTTAAATGAACTATAATTTTTTTAAAGATAATATATATGCAGATAGGTACAATAGATATATATACGGTAGATTTCATTTGCAAAAAAAGTGAATTTGATTTCCAAAAGAATAAATTTAATTTAATTTGCAAAAGGGCAAACTTGATTTGTAAAAGAGCTAATTTAATTTCCTTTAAGTGAATTTGACTCATAAAAGAATGAATTTAACTGGCTAATGGGTGAATTTGAATAGTAATATAGTGAATTTAATATGCAAAATGGTGAATTTAATAGTTATTAGTATATAGGCTAGTCTCTGTTATTGATTGTTTTTACTATTTGCAATTCCAATTTTAAAAATGGTGTAAAACTTGCAGATAATTAAATTTCCTTTGGGGTAAATTCTTTTAAAACTTTTAGATTAGAGACATTAGATTTTTTTAAAAAATGAGCAGCCAAATACGTACGTATATTGTTGTAAGTAAAATGAGGGTAGACACCAGGTCTCTATATTGCAGATAAAATGTCAGCCAAAATGTTAAAGGATCACACAACTCCAACCGACATTCTTACACTTTTATACAAAGTGAAAATGCACATTAAAGCCGTACAACCACCAGTATCAAAACACCATAAAAAAAGTCTATATTTCCATCCTGATCTTGCAACCATAACTCATGTATTCATCGAACTGGACCATTAGCTGTCATTTCAAGATCATCTACGTGGGTACTCCAAAAGGCAGATAAACAAGCTTGACAGACAGACTAAAACTATTTTTTCACTCCATCAGTCATAATTTCGACTAAAACTTGTCTTTCTACTTGACAACCAAAAACCACCAGCATTGGAATCCCGGAAGAGCCATTGATTGACTACTTAGCATCCAACACCAACAGCAACCAGCTCTGTTCAAATGGTCAGGATTCCAGCCATCTACACAAACGTGCAAACGTGGTCACTGAAGAGGGAGTATGTGGATAATGATTTTTCAAAACAAGATCCAAATTAAATTTGTAGATAACATTTCATTTAACATAAAATCTTTGAAAATTTTTTAAATTTGAGACATATTGAGATAAAAAAATTATGTAAGCCGAATATATCTTCATATTACTCATAACTAAAAAGAGACTACATAATAGGCACCAGGTCTCTCTAATAAACTTACTATTGGTGTAAATTCGTTTTATAACTCAACAACAGTGTTTATGTAAATATTTATGCTGCAAATGGCCAATAAAATGACAATACAGCGTCAAAAACGCTTCCTTAAAAAACGCGTTTTTCCTACATTTTATTTTCTCAATGTTAAGTTTTTCAAAACAAGAACCAAGTTAAACTTGTAGAGAAAAACATTTCATTTGACATAAACACTGAAAACTTTTTAGATTTGAGACATACTGAGATAAAAAAATTATGAAAGTCAAATATATCTTCATATTAGTAAGTAAAAAGAGACCAAATAAGTCGGCATCATGTCTCTCTAACATGCTTATCATTAGTATAAATTCGTTTAATCAAACAACAGCAGTGTTTATACAAACATTTATGTTACAAATGATCAGTAAAATTAAAATACATCTTCAAAAACGCATTTTTTCTACACTGCAGTTAATATCTTAGAAACTATATAGATTATCTGCAGGTCGATCAACAAACATCATATCTCAGAAACTATTAACTTTTTTCAAAAAAAGAACAATGTAAAACTTTTAGAGAATAACATTTCCTTTAACATGTCTTTTAAAACTACTAATATTGGTGATATATTGACACAAAAAGTTATGAAAGCTAAATAAAATCCAAATTAAATCTTCATATTACTCATAAGTAAAAGAGACTAAATAATAGCACCAGGTCTCTCTAATAAACTTTTTATTAGTATAAATTCGTTTGATAACTCAACAACAGTGTTTATACAAAAATTTGTGCTACAAATGACCAGAACTACAATACAACGTCAATCACGCTTCCTTAAAAAAACGCGTTTTTTCTACATTGTAGTTAATATCTCCGAAACTATTCACTTTTTCCAAAAAAGAACAATGTAAAACTTGTAGAGAGGCCAAATATGTCTTCATATTAGTCGTAAGTAAAAAAGAAAATGCATAATAGGCAGCAGGTCGCTGTAATAAACTCACTATTAATGTAAACTCGTTTTATAACTAAACAGCAGTGTTTATGCAAACATTTATTCTACAACGTCAAAAACGCTTCCTTAAAAAACGAGTTTCTATATTTTAGTTAATATCTTAGAAATTATTAAGTATTCAAAACAAGAACCAAATTAAACTTGTAGAGAATAACATTTCATTTATCTATCATAAACTCTTTGAAAACCTTTTAAATTTGAGACATATTCAGATAAAAAATTATGAAAGCCAAATATATCCTCGTATTAGTCGTAAGTAAAGAGACCAAATAAGTCGGCATCATGTCTCTCTAACAAACTTATTAGTACAAATTAGTTTAATAACTCAACAATAGATTTTATATATTTATGCTACAAATCGCCAGTAAAATTGCAATACAACGTCAAACACGCTTACTTAAAAAACGCGTTTTTTCTACACTGTAGTTAATATCTCAGAAATTATTAACTTTTTTCAAAAAAAAGAACAATGTAAAACTTCTAGAGAATAACATTTCAATTTTCGCATAAAGTCATAAAGCTCCTTATATTTGAGACATATTGAGGGAAAAAGAAATGAAAGCCAAATAATATCTTCATATTATTCGTAAGTAAAAAGAGACTACATAATAAGCACCAGGTCTCTCTAATAAACTTTTTATTAGTATAAATTCGTTTGATAACTCAACAACAGTGTTTTTACAAAAATGTATGCTACAAATCACCAGTAAAATTACAATACAACGTCAAACACGCTTCCTTAAAAAACGAGTTTTTTTTCTACATTTTGGTTAATATCTCGGAAATTATAAAGTTTAGAAAAGAAAGAACAATATAAAACTTACAGAGAAGCCAAGTATCTTCATTCTTGAAAATGAGTTTTTTCTATATTTTAGTTAATATCTGAGAAATTATTAAGTTTAAAAACAAGAACAATTAAAATATATAGAGAATAACATTTCAACTTTAAGATAAAGTCTTAAAAACTTCTTACATTTGAGACATTTTGAGACAAAAAGAAATGAAAGCCCAATAATATGTTCATATTATTCGTAAGTAAAAAGAGACCACATAATAGGCACCGGGTCTCTCTAACAAATTTATTATTAGTATAAATTAGCTTGATAACTCAACAACAGTATTTATACAACAATTTATACTACAAATGACCTGTAAAATTACAATGTAACGTCAAAAACGCTTCCTTAAATAACGCGTTTTCTACATTGTAATTAATATCTCCGAAACTATTAACTTTCTTTAAAAAAAAAAAGAACCTTGTAAAACATAGAGATTAACATCGCTACGAATGACAGTACAATTGCAATACAGGTTCGAAAAACCTTCGTTATAAAACGTGTTTTTCCTTCATTTTAGTAATTATCTCAAAAACTGAACGGCTTTTCTAGTGTTGTAATTTATTAGCGCGAATGTGGAGCCCAATTACCCCGAGTAATATCGAGTACTCTGGGGTAGAGTGAATTCTGACCAGACTATTATGTTTTTGTGTATGCGTTTGTTATTTGTGTTGTTTTCATTTGACGATGCCCTGATATACAGAAAGGCCAGCAATAGGATAAAGAAAGAGAAAGTAAAGACATCAGAAACTAAGAAAATGAGGGAAAAAAAGTTGATATGCACTTTGTTTTGCGTTATTCTTTCTTTCGCTATAAATTGCAAAAAAGAAAATTTCGCTCATAATATTCTTTATATTTGGCGTGATGATAATAGTAAAATTAACGTACCTGACCCAATGTGGAACCGTGACTGGTTCGCCGTGAACATTGTCCAGACCTAGGTCCATTGACTTGTTCAGCATGTAGTCGATAGCGTTCTCCAGGTTTTTCGTACCTGACATTCTGAAGCCGAACTTATCAACGAAAGTCGCAAGCTCTTCGTAGACTTTCCCTTTCGCTTTTCCATTAGTGACTGCTTCGTTTATCTTCTGAACGGCCGTCTTGTACCCCTGAATTTCTTCGACCAGGGACGGTTCCAGCTCGCAATATCCCGCTGGCTTGGGCGTCGGACCCGCCGTCCCCTGGCCAAGCAATGCGAGAAAAATCAGCGCTATCATGCTGACAGGATATCCGGTCATTCTGAGTACGGATGATCTCTGCTCGTCGGTTTTAAACGTCTACCTACCCTGCAAATCCGGCCAGAACCGATCAATTACTCTCTTCGCTTTTGAGTTTGAAATTTGATAAAACGCGAGATTAAATATTATCTTCTGCGGATCTGCTAAAATTTGAACTTTACCCCCGGCACAAACATAACAAACTTTTCATCAGTGAATGTTGCTTTAATGAGTGATGACTCCAGTCATGACCTCGCCGGCCCTTCTCTTTTAACACAATCAAAGCGGAGGGGTTACATCAGCATCGTACCGTTTCATTGCGTCCTATTTTAAAAAGAAAAAAAAACCAAGATCATTATTCTATTTTTCTCTGTCAAATTCAAAATGACAAATGAGGATTAATACAGACAATTGACCGAAATTTGTTTAAGACAAAATTAACAGCCTTATGAACAACTTGGAGCATCACTCAATTTCAAGAGTCTAGAAACAAATCAATTATCTTTCTTTTTATTATTATATCACTGTTGATAGATATAATTAAGGATTTAGAATGTCAATATTTTGTTTACATTAAAAAACCATGTTTTAATCCTACTTTTTAAAAAGATAAATTATTTTTCCTTGCATAACCATCTGGAAATGAGTAAAGTCTGAGATATTTTTCAGCAGGACAGTAAATAAATGTTTTATTATTATTTATTTTGGGCTACCTAGCTCTCCCTACTTTAACCCAGACCAACAAACACTTTTCAAATCCCTGACATTGACTCATGAGATATTGCACTTAGGTGTAATAAATTATGCTTGGTCATTTCCAATCTATGGTTTTACTATATATTACTTATTTTGGTTTTTCACCATCTCTAGTGGTGTAACAGTATGGGTTTTTGTTAATTTCCTTTTATTGTGAATGATGTGTCTGTGTTGTTTTGATGGATTATGTCTATTTCTTGTCTCTCTCTCTCTCTCTCTCTCTCTCTCTCTCTCTCTCTCTCTCTCTCTCTCTCCTCTCCTCTCCTTTTTTCCAAGTTGGTCATTTTCCTGTATTGTTTTAAATGGTGTTCATCCCCCGCAGACTTGAAGGAGAAATATTGCAAGACTGAAAAAAAAAAATCAAGCACTTCTTCACAGTACACTAATCAGCCTTGCTGGTTTCATTCCACTGGAGATGTGGGGAGCCATTTCCGTGGATGCTTGGACCTTATGTAATTATAATTGAGCAGTTTTATATGTCAATGACCTCTTAATTGCTACACGAATTAATTAAATTTTCATTGATTCTATTTACCATGAATTGTGAAAAAGGATTTTCACGTTCATTTTTTTTTTTTTTTTTTTTTTTTTTTTTTTTTTTTTTTTTTTTTTTTTTTTTTTTTTTTTTTAAAGAAGGAGGTCATTGACTGCCGTTGCTGCAATACTTTCTCCTGGGTCGTAGTATCATGGCTTACTTCCCTTTTAAGTAGGAGCTTAAAGTGATATGGGTAGAAGTTTCTTCCTCCTCATTGCATAACCTATAAAAATGGGGTCATTGTTGGAAACACCTGTATTGTGTGTGTATTGTTTTAGATACATGTTGTATAGTATGTATCACTCCTATAATTGGTCCTGCAGATCCAGTTTGGCTGCTTGTTCGATACCCAAAATTTCTTTATACCCTGGGTTCCAGGATTTTTTAAGGTTATGTTGTCTTCCCTGGAATTAGATACATTCACCACTCATCTAAGAAGTTTCCTTTTCTAGTCTATTTTTCTCTCTTCTGTAACCATTAGATTATGTACAAGCCAGCCTTTTTACGACCTGTGCACCGCAACCAGTATTGGTCTATTGTGCATCTCCAACCTTTATTATCTAGAAGACCTTGTTAAGCTTAATGCTTTTTACCAGACTCCCAATCTCTTTCAAGGGCTCCCGTGTGTACTCTTCAGGTCCTGACTTTTCCTATCCCAAGATTAGGACTTTCATCCCACATAGGCCTTCACACCAACAGATGACATGTTCCGCTGTTTTTTCTTATTCTAGGTAATATCTGCACTGGCTTGTTCTGCCACTCTGGGTCTATACATATGCCTCCAGAGTTTGCAGTGTCCAGTCAGCAGTCCAACTATTCTACTCCTACCATGTTAGTACTCTTGAAGATGTTGATTTGTTTCTAGATTTGGGAGTTGTCGTTAACAACAGTTGCACCTTTGAGGACTACCATTTCCACATATATTTGTCTGAGCATAACTTTAAAGAGAGACAGATATTGCATCACTCAATGTTTGAGCATTAAATAAAAAAAGAAAGTATTAGAAATGCATAGAATTGTATCATAATTTCATTGTGCATCTGTTTAATGTACTAACTTATTAATAATAATAATTTTTTTAACTTTGTAGGCAAATATTTAATGTTCTGAAAGTATTATTGTGGATTTAGAACAAAATTCGACTGAATTCGCATTTTCAATCTATTATCCATTATCGTTGTACATTAGTATGGATAATTAGAACTTATCATAGTCAATCAAAAAAAAAACCATTGATCAAAATAATATGATATCCCAACAAAAATCTAACTGTGGCAAAAGGGCCAAGTTTCAGACCCGCTTCAAAAAAGACAACCTAGCAATGTGATAGTATAGTATTATTTATATTCGAGAACAGTTTATACATTTTATACATATTATACAAGCTGTAGAATACGTCAGAATACAAATATCGGCCTCAAAAAATTCTTGAAGACTATAGAAAGGGTTTTTAATAGCCAATTTACAATAATTTTTAAAGTATTTTAGAGGCAGTGATGTTTCATTATCAGAGAGTTATACAATTTAATGCCAATGTTTTCATAACTTCTACTGAGTGTTGTCCATTACAGATTGGCAATTTATTTGTATTTCTAGTATTATAGTTATGTACATTATTTACAGATTCATAATTTCCTACATTTTTCTTTAAGTCCTGAAGATTTAAATATATATACAAGTTTATCACAGTTAATGCGTTCTTTACACTAAATATTCTACAAGATTCACATTACACATAGTACAACATTATTCTTAGAATATGTTTTTGGATTAAAAGTATATATTTTATAAGATGGCTGTTTGCCCAAATTAGTAAGAGAAGTAGATTACTCTCCTAACTTCAAGAGAAACCGTATCCCTGATCTGAAGAACTTTACATTTTTCGGTGTTTGGATATTTATTACGATTTAGAGATACTATCATGGCATTCGATTTTTGATCATTCATTGTCATATAGTTGCTTGTAAACCATTTACTCATGGTACACAGTGTGGAATTTGTAACGGAGACCATACACTCAATACTGCTTGCAGAGACCACAAACCTATCCTAAATTGTGTGTGTTATACAGTTTTGTTGGGATTATTTATACAGTTTATATTCTACTTGAAGTCTAAAACGAATAGAACAGAAAGTTTAGATACATGATTTTATTTTAATTAGAACACACATGTAATATGTACATATATTATATTTTTATATTATATACAAGTGGTTTGAAGATAAATATTATTCCATTTTCTGATTTATGCCTAAACTGTAGGCAATCTTATTGTACACATATTAAATTCAATTGAATTTTCATTTTCATTCTCGGCATTATTCAGCACAGAATTTTACAGGATTACTCAGCTTTTTTTATTAGTTGCTGATGTTCTTTGTTTTAAGAATAAGTGTAAGTAGATGTATTATTTCAATTTTTTATTCAACGACAGTTGAGAAGAAAAATTGGAATTAATAATTAATAATAAACCGATAACTAATTAAATATTTAGATATATTAAGTTGAAGTATAAAATAAAAGCCCAATAAATTAATATTAATAAATTTGTAAAACCATAGCCCTTTTAAAAGAACTTAGTGTTATTTCAGCATAGTAATCACAGATCTCAGCACATCATGATTGAGCTCAATGTTTTCTTGGTGGACTTGGAGGTTTCAACTGAAATTATTATTTTTTAGTGTCAGTTCTTTAAAAATTAAACACAGGAGAAAATAATTAAATTGTACAATTAAGTGAAATGATACCACGTGCTACTTTTAGAACTTTTAGCACACCTACGAGGAGAAATCTCTCGAAATTGTCTACCATAGATTACTGTGTAGATTTAGTGAGGTAGTGTTTGCTGATGGATATGCTAATTGTTTTTCTATCATTTTTTTTTTTCAATGTTACAAAGGAAAAATGAACACGAAAATTTCATGTGCACCCTCCTCATCCCAAAAGCTATACGGAACACTGCTTTCGCTATCAGAGCGTTTAACGTTGAAATTGCACAGATTCCGGACAAAGCGAAGGACAAACAATTGGCGAGTGCCAGAATGGCATTTTGGCAAGACGCTCTAGATAAAATTTACAAGGGTCAGCCTCCAGAACATCCCGTAGCCCTGGAACTAGCTAGGGTGAGAGACAATTAGGTATTAACAATTCAAGTTTTTATTTTACATTTTAAAACTACTGCTTAAACACATTCTCCCCCCATCCTTCATTCTTTTAACATTATCTCTCACCATCAGTTTCGTTTCAGACATTCTTGTTCCACTATTCCGCGGTGCCTTCGTGTTGGGCACATAATCGCTACTGCTTTTGAGCAAAATGAGTGCCTCTACAGTGTATTCTAGATGTGAAACAAATCTTCGATTGGGTATGGCACTTGGGACTGCTCTGGAAGTTTAACAAAGTCCTCCATTTTGCCTATGATATCCTACCTAACCGACAGATACTTTCAAGCCATCAGTGTCTTTAAGCATAACACTCACATGCAAGGGTATCACAAGGAAGTATCTTAGGACCCGTCCTCTACACAGTATACACTGCAGACCTTCCTACTCTTCATGAAATGTCCTCACCACGTGATGAAACGTCGTTCTTTGTTCTTATAAAGTTCGTCATCTCATCCAGAAACCTTCAAACCCATATCTCATCCCTTGAACAATGGTTCCTGTAATAGAAGATGAAAAATGTGGACTTGTCACTTTTACCCTTGGGAAAATAATGCTCCCATCTGAAATTAGGATACTTTGAAATAAACTATAGCCTGGAATTTAAAATCACCTTGAATAATTAATTATGAACACAATATATTTATAAAGATTCAAGTCTGATAATGCTGTGCAAAGATGTTTATTTACAAAACAGAACATATAATGCAATGAAAATTAACTAAAAAGTGACAAGTAAAAATATTCAGTGCCAAGTTTTAAAGAGTAAGGACGTGAGGTAATCAAATGGGCTGGACATAAATGTTGATAGGTATGGGGCATGGAATTCGGTAGATAGGAGGCCCAAATGAGTAAGGAATGAGTGAACATTAGTTCTGTGTTTAGGAGTATAAAGATCAGAAAGGTGGGAGTGAGTCTGATGAGAGTATATAATGAAGGTGAGATCATATATGTAGGAAAGGAAATGTAATTGTATCATCTGATAGAAGGAGTTATGGTAGGAAGAAGTTGTGAACAAGTTTTGAAGATTATTCACATAGGACCTCCTTGGGGAGCCAAAGATAAAGAGAGTTAAACAGTTTATTAGACTAGGCTTGTCTTCAAGCTTTCTTATGAGTACCGCATACACAACACATCTGTAATCAAAGTTGGGTAGAATATGGAAGGAAACTAGGAATTTAGATGTACTAAAGAGGAGAAGGTGGCTGGCACAACTGACTGTTGAAGTGTGTGGTGTTTAGTGACCGTTAGTTAATGATTATTCGGACATCTTGAGGTGCAGTCTGGTGTGACGTAGGTTTTAGAAAAATTTTTCTTTATTGTGCCAACGTTTCGATCTTTATTGAGATCATCTTCAGGGCTCAAAGTGTTTGTTTTCTGCCTACTTGTTCTTGTGTGTCGTGTGGGCACTCTCAACATGACACACAAGAATGACACAGTTACGTAGAAAACAAACACTTTGAGTCCTGAAGATGATCTCACTAAAGGTCGAAACGTTGGCACGATAAAGAAAATGTTTTTGTAAAACCTATGTCACACCAGACCGCATCTCACTATCTCTGAATAATGACTGATGAAGGGTGGAAAATCAATGGGAAATATAGAGCTTACAGGACTAGGTCTGATCAAAGACAATCCCAATCCCATCAAGAACATGGGGCAGAAGGAAATAGGCAGGAAGGGACATAAAAACCTTGCACTTTTCTATGTTCAAGTTGATCCCATTTTCACCGACCCAAGAGTTAATTGAGTTTAAACCCTCCTGAATTTTTAAAATTTTTAAATTGCAGCAGTATTTTATGGATTTAGGGAAGACATTAATGTAACAGCAAAATGGATGCAGAGATAATAGTTCACCCTTGACGGTCTCCAGAAGTGATGAAGGCTTATTTGAGGTCACTAAGATAAAGTCTAGTAAGGAGAAAGAAAGAAATGATCTATAGTATCAAAGGCTTTAGGAAAATTGAGAAGGACAAGAATGGTGATTTTAAATTAGTGTCGATGGAGGTTTTAAAAAATTGGATTGCATGGAAATGGCAGGATGGTAGCGAGATTGTAGTGGAGCCAAGAGAATTGGGCTCTTTAAATAGATAGACATTTGTAAATTGACAAAATTTAACAAGGTTTAAGCAAGAGATTTAACGAGGTTGGAGAGGATGGATATAGGACAGAAGGACTAGGATTTTAAAAATATCTATATATTATTTATTTTATACATTTTTTTATGGTGGGTTTGCAACAGCAGAGGTCATATCAACTCCTGGGGTGCTATTGGAAAAAGCCCATTTGTAAGTCCTAACAGTATCAATACCTTAACCTCCAACATCCCCTCGAGTAGCTTCCTAGTACAATTGTCAGACCCGACAATAAAACTAGTAGTAGGCAACTAGGTTCATTAGATTTATTTTTTGGATTGGGTAGTTGTTAACCTCTTCTAGATTTAGTAAATTTAGTAATGTTTGAATGAGCCACTTTCCTGCATCAATTAATCATAATTGATTAATTTTTGACATTGTTATAAAAACAAATTGAAGTAGACAAATTCAAACTTAAGTTTAAAATAATTTAAACATTTGATTTGTACATTTCCCCTGAAAATGTTAAATAAATTGATAACATTTCAAATATTTGCATTTGAATTGATTTCAGGCAGTCAAGCATCACAAGCTGCATAAAAAACATCTTTCGCGTCTTTTGAAAGCGAGGTTGAACGCTCTGAACTCGGCGACTTTCCAAAACGTACAAGATGTTGAAAAGTACGCTGAAGAGACCGCCTCACCCATATTTTACATGCTGCTAAATGCCTCGGGCGTGCAAAGTATGGAAGTCGACCATGCTGCGTCTCACCTCGGTAAAGCCCAGGGTGTGTGCAATGTAATTCGTGCAATCCCTCACCTCGCAGCCCACAGGACTGTGATGCTGCCACAGGATTTGATGACAAAACACAATGTCGTCCAGGAGGATGTCATAAGACAAAAATGCATTGGCAACTTAAGAGAAGTTGTCTTTGAACTCGCCAGCACGGCTAATATTCATCTGAAAAAGGTAATCTAACAACATATATTTAAAAGATTGTTTTATCAAATTTTTTATACTTGTAAAAAGAACAATTTTGATTGATGTTAGGCACGCAATTTACAAGAGGATGTTCCAAAAATAGCCTCATCTATTTTCCTTCCTGCTGTGCCTTTATCTTCATTTTTAGAAACACTGAGGTACTTAAAATGTTTTATTTTCATAAATTTACTTTTTAAAATTGGCATGATTATTTTTCAGGAATGTTGACTTTAATGTATATGATGAATTTCTAGTTGAGAGAAACGTACATCTAGGATATTCCCTTATCTGGAAAAAACTCCTTTCCAAATATTAGGAATCTTCTAAAATAGTGTTGTATATAAACTATTATAGTTATTGATTGTAAATTACTTTGTCTGATATTTTATAATAATAAAATAAATTGTTGAATTGGTTTTAAACAGGAAGTTTTCGTTTTTTATTTTTCAAATTTATGTTTCCTGGGTCTGTAAATATTGATTATAACATTTGTATATATGTCTCACAGTGTGCTTAACTCTTACTTGGCAATGTTTCATATTTTATGCTAGGCGAACTTTCTATTTTTGTAATGTCATAACTCTTCCAATTTTAAATTTGATTGTTCCGTTTTGTATATGAGATTTTTCTGAGTCTATCTACGCATCAGTTTTCACTACAACCTTTGCTTCAACATTTGTAAAATATTTTTTTTGTCTACTTTTCCTCAATTGTTTGGTTAAACATTCATTTCCTTATTTATTTTTTGGGTCATCCTTTAATTGCAATGGTCAAAATATTCCTATATATTTCCTTATTTCATTTAAACTATTGTTAAAATTAAAATTATAATTTTAATTAATTAATATTTAATTTAATTAATAATAAATTATAAATTATTGTTTTTATGATCAATTTTTAATGACCGGAGGTGTTCGAATTTTTGTTTAATCTCAAAATAATTTGAATGGTAAAAATAATTAATTTTTAATAGTCAAAATATTTTTTCTGGATCAGATTATTTCTTTATTTAAACTTTTGTTACAATTAATATTATTAATTTAATTTATTAATTTAATATTATTTATTAAAATTATAATTATAAATTGTTGATTTTAATTACTCCATTAATTATACACAATTTTTCAAAATGAAAAATTTGTGTTACATGCAGGATTCGAACCCACGACTTTCGGCTAAATACGCCACTGCTCTACCCTGACTTCGATTGCTCATGCCATTTCGACTCCTCGTTTTTTGTAATTGTAAGCGGCTTCATATAGAAACACTTTTATTATCGATTGTACTATATTAGTGTGATTGAGTTTGATTCACAGGTGTGATTCTAGAATAATACTAACTTTTTAATTATTTTTTTCTTTTGGGTTTGCAGTATGACTGGTAAACCTCCAAAAAAGGAGAGGATACCAACGTTAAGAGATAGGGAAAGCTAAAAGATGAGGATGGGATGGCTAATTTGTTGATGTTTGACAAGCCAGAAGAAATTGTTCGACAAGAATGGAACAATGGAAATGAAAATATAAATGAATTCTAGAATTGGGAGAGCCTGAAGCTCTTGAAAGTGAAGAGCATGATTTGGCTATCATTGACCTACAGCAATCATTACATCAACCTCTAAGGCATGAAATGAGATACTAATATTATCATTCTTTTACTGTTTTCTTGTTGAGCTGGACAGACCAGAGGTTAGACTTAACCTTAATTTTAATATGTGGTGATTAATGACCGTTAATCGACAATTATTCAGAAATCGTGAGATGCGGTCTGGTGTGATGTTTATAAACTGATGTAGGTTTCAGAAAAACATTTTCTTTATCGTGCCAACGTTAATTACTTAATTTTAATTATGAGCCCTTCGGCACGACTAGGGTCTTAGGTCTCAAACACTGGCAATTCAAACCCAACTTAGTCAATTTTATTTTTTTCTCCTTTCCTTTCTTTCTTTTCTGTTATTAACCCTTCCACAAACATGGTGCTCAATTAAATTTTCTCCCTCTCCCTGTATTTTTCTTTACCCACCCCCATCTTAGCGTGCAATGGGTAATCCAGTTGTTGGCTGTGATTGAAAATACGAGGAAAACATTATCTAGGCACTAAAAGTTTCCTAGTAGAAAAGCTGGCCCTGCCTTCTCAGCCAATTATTTTGACAACCAATTCAATAGACATTTTCAATAAATTGGGCTGTTCACAAGTTGTCATTTAGTACAACCTTGTTAATTGGTTATTATATTATATAGGACATAATATAGAATCCACAAATGGTACATGGCACCATATTTTCACAAATGGACATTTGCAACAGCAATGATTGGTTTTGCCACAGCTTCTGTTGGAGAAATTATAGTCACAACGTCTTAACAATATACTTTGTAAAAGCAACTGATGACAAATAAAGAAGAAATTTTAGAAAAATATAAAGAAAAAGATGGTGGAGAGAGTTTCAGTAAAATAACAAGACATTTTAATAATTTATTATATATATAGAAATAAAACATAAAGTCTATTTTAAACATAACAACCTTTCTACAAAGGATAAAGAAGAATTTTATCATAGGCATCAATTTATTTTAGTCACATTTTATAATTCTACTCCTCCAACTACAAGTATCCCATATGTGCCAAGGTGCTGATTTGAATCACAGAATGCTCTCAAGTCAAGAGTCCCATCGTGCTCAGATAATTAATCACAGTTCATTTGATTTTCCATTGGTCTGTTCAAGATCAGTCAAAGGGGAGATTGGTGATTCTTCAAGCGATTTGACGTATGACAGCTGTTGGTAAGATATGATCGGTGTTTTTGCGACAGTCTTGAAATGTCGAGAGCAGAAATCGCCTATCCTCATACATGCTTCAATAAGTTGCTTTTCAGGTACGGTCAAAACGATCCTCATGTACCCCGAATAACCGAAGCACTAAAACGATAATTGAAAAGTAAGATTTTATTTAATAATTGGTAGAAAAATTATTAAATACCTCTCCAGGAAGGCAAAAAACTGATTCCTCGTTCACCATTTGTCTGACAAAATCTAAGCCGGTTTTGAATTTTGGGAATTTCGCCATATCAATTCCAACCTGTACGATAAAACTATTTCATTAGTACTATTTTATTCAATATATGAGTATATTATGTAGATTAATTAATTATTCTGTATTGAAGATTTTACTTTAACTAAATGGCGAATTTGTTTAGTTGATTTTTCACTTCTGATTCATTTTATGACAAATTAAAAGTATAAATAAAATTATACAAATACAGAACATTTTTCTTTCTACTCTAAAACACCCTTTAATCATAGTATGGACCAACATTCAATAGATGCAGAAAATTCCAACTATTACAATTTAACAAACATTGAAATGCTATTATAAAAAATCATAAAGAGTTTTTTGTAGTTGTTAGATCATCCATGATCATCCTTGCCTACCAAGGCAAAGAAATTCAGAGCATTTGGCCAAACACCAAGAAACTTCAACCAAAATTTTAAAAAATATTTTTTTTTATCTTGCAGACTATACTCGTACTTATAACATGATTGGTTAAGTTTTATCATTTAATCCAAGATTACTAGAGATTTATTATGAAAGGCAAGAAAGTAATTCAATCCTCGCATACCCACCATAATGTACATTGCTCCTTGTGGCATTACGGGTTTCAAGCCTTCGATTTCGGCCAGCATGAAATAAGCCAACTGAGCATTCCTCTGAAGAAAAAATTAATTAATTTTTTTTTCACTTTAAAATAACATATTGATGTTAGATATTACTTGTATAATAGCTATTGTGTCTTGAAAAAACGATTGTGGTGTTTCTTTTAAAATTTTTGGTATTGCCCCTTGAATAACCGTGCTACTTCCTATGATACGTTGACTTAATTTTTGAAGTCCTCCTCGAATCTAAACAAGTAAAAGTTTTCTCATATGAGAATTTTAGGTGAAACTTAACTTCCAAAACTTACCTCCCTACCAAGTACATTATTCCTGTCATGAATGATTATCCATCCCATTCTCCATCCAGGAATTAAAAATCTAAAAAAAAAAAAAAATGAATAAGTAAAATTGATTGGGATTTATTTTACTGTACAAACCTTTTGGTTAATCCACTGCAAGAGAGGATAGGAACATCATCCGATAAAGATGCAATAGGGATGAATTTTTCCCCTTTAAACACCTAAAATGAAAAATTAGCAATAAAAATCCATTTTTATAAAGTTCAAAGAAAATATTAACATACAAGGTGCTCGTATATTTCATCAGCAATGATCGGTAGGTAGTTTCTTGATGCCACTTGCACAATGTCCCAGAGATGTTTCTTGCTGAAGACCGAGCCACAAGGGTTCGAAGGGTTGTTGATTATTATTGCAACAGTGTTCGAATCGATCTGCGATTCCATATGGTACAGATCTGCCTCCCATCCTTTCTCAGGCTGCAAATTTAAATCGTTTCAACTAATCATCATGAGATTAAAATTATTACAGTGCCCTTACAATGAGATTGTATTCTTTAACATTGATTCCTAAACCCTCAGCCAAAGTCCTATATATGGAAAAACCGGGTCGGGGCACAAGGATGTTTTGCCCTGGGTTGGCTACAGCAGTTATACATAAATCCAAAGCACAAGAGCATCCACTACATAAAATTACATCCTGGAAAGTAAATAAAGTTAGTTCACGTTATAAAAAAATTTATTTTTCAGACTCACCTCAGCTTTTACGGTATATTTTTCGTTGGATGAGTATTCCGCAACAGCTTGTCTTGCTTCTTGGTAACCTTTAAAAACATAATTTTTAAATATTTTTCAAAAAATTATTTATTATATGAATTACCAGTTGATGCGGCATATCCATTATATTTAAATGTATCCAAACTCTCTTTCACTGCTTCAATGACTTCAATGGGCGGTTTTAAATTGCCAAATATAGTTGGATCTCCTGTAAAAATCATATTAATTAATATTGGGTTGTCCGGAAAATAATGCAGGATTTTAAGTTTTCATTAAAAAAAATCTATATAAAATATTCTGTTTACGTTTACAGGATTACTCATTTGTATGAATGTCAACACTTATTAATCCTCTTCCAAATGATATTGTTTGTTTACCTCTGTAGCATTCCGCTACTTGGAAATAATTCAGTCATCCTTATAATGTCAAAGCGAGAATTTCGTACGATTTTCTTTTACGAGTTTAAACTCGGCCGAAGCGGAGCCCAAACGGCTAGAAACATTAACCAAGTCTGGGGCGAGGGTTGTGTTAATGAGTGCACTGTGCAAAGGTGGTTTAAAAAATTTCGGGAGGGAGATTTCAGCCTTGAAGATGAAGAAGGTCGTGGAAGGCCTTCCTCTCTTAATGATGATGTTCTGCGATCAGTGGTGGAAGAAAACCCCAAAACAACTGTTCGAGAACTTGCAGAGCAACTCAAAGTCAGTAAAACGACCGTCGCTGACCACCTCAAGGCGATTGGAAAAGTGAAAAAACTCGAAAATTGGGTTCCACACTCATTAAACGATCGCACAAAAAAATCAGCGCTTTGATGTTTGTGCATCACTTCTTTGTCGAAACAAAAATGACCCATTTCTGGCCAGAATTGTTACATGTGACGAAAAGTGGATTCTCTACGATAACACTAGACGTTCTGGACAGTGGCTCGACAAAGGAGAAGCTCCAATACATTTTCCAAAGCCCCCAACTCATCAAAAAAAGGTAATGGTTACGGTATGGTGGGCTTCATTTGGTTTAATACACTACAGCTTCTTAAATCCTGGCGAAACCATCAATGCTGAATCATACTGTAACCAAATTAATACCATGCATCAGAAATTGGCAGTAATGAAGCCCTCTTTGGTCAATCGGAAAGGGCCCATTTTGTTGCATGACAACGCTCGACCACATGTGTCACGTGTAACGTCACAAAAATTATTGGAGCTTGGCTATGAAACTTTGCCTCACCCACCCTACTCTCCGGACCTCTCGCCTACTGACTACCATTTTTTTAGACACCTGGACCACTACTTACAACACATAATATTCAAAAATCAAACGGAACTGGAAAATGCATTTATTGACTTTATCAATTCTAAAAATTCTGAATTCTACTCAGACGGAATTAATAAGTTACCAACACGTTGGGAGAAATGTATTGAGAGTATGGGAAATTATTTTGATTAAAGAACATTGCTTTAAAGTAACTAGTTTCTTTTTTTTTGTTTAATACCAAAATCCTGCATTATTTTCCGGACAACCCAATAATAATAAGTTTTTTATAACTATTATTGTATATTACATTAATTGTAAAGAAACAATTTTTAAAAATATTTCGGTATGCTTAATTTGGTAATACACAATTTGTAATTCTTAACCTAAAATAAAAATAAAAAGATTTTTTCAAAATTAATGTTGTACATCTAATTCCTCATTAATTATGTTTACTAATTACTGTGCACAACAAAAAAAGGTGCAGATGTGGGAAATTTGTATTCTTTCAATTTGCAACTGTACAAAAAATGATAGTACAACTGAAGTCTTGTTTTCAAATTTAATTGTCGATGATGACCAAAAAATTAATTGACTTATCCTTCTGATCATAGTAAAGTTTATTACGTTTTTAAAACTATTGAAATAGATTAAATAGTACAATGTAGCCTAGTTAAAGAGGGGGAAAGGTGCAATTGAGAGAAATCGTTATATCACTATTGCAACTGTTCCAAGATGGTGGTACAACTGAGCATTGTTTTCAAAAAAATTAATTGATTTGATATTTCATTTTGATCATAGTAAAGTTGATTACGTTTTTAAAACTACTGTAATAGTTTAAATAGTACAATGCAGCCTAGTTAAAGAGGGAAAAAGGTGCAATTGAGAGAAAGTGTTATTTCTCTTTTGCAACTGTTCCAAGATGGTGGTAGAAATGAAGTCTGCTTTTAAATTGAGTGATGATGACAGTAATTCTAAAGACGTGATCTTGTCCTTCCGTCAAGTAGATTACATTTATAAAACTTTTGAAAAAGTTTAAATAATATTATGCAGTCTTGATAAAGAGGGAAATAGAAAAAAAATTGCAGTGTGAGAAATCGTTATTTCCATCTTGCAACTGTTTCAAAATGGTGGTAGAACTGAAGTGCGTTTTCAAATTCCTGTGTCAATGATGACCATAATTTAAGACTTTATATCCTTCTGATAATACTATAATTGATGAGATCAAGTTATTCAAAGTCAATGATGCGAAAAGGAATTTAAAGTACGTTCAGGCATTGACGTATTTTGGCAGCATTTATCTGTGTATGTTGCTATGAGGCCATTGGATGGAAAGAATTAAAAAAAAAATACTGAAAAAGTCGAGTTAAATCACTCAAAAATCATTTCAATGGATTCTTTTTTGCAGAGAAATTTTTAAATTCACACTCATATAATCTGCGCAGGGTGAAACTCGTAGTGGAAAAACCGGTATTGGTCTGGTCTTTGGCCGATCGCCAGCTATGCAAATATTTTGGCACGAGTTTCATCCGAGGTCGGCCCTTCGAAAAGTCGAGCCTTGATATTTTACCTTTTTCCTTTTGATGTTCGGGTGAAGAAGATTTTCCGGCCTTGATTAACCGGGGAAAATGCACTCCCAAATTTAATCGAACCTGACAACCCCATGAAAATCCACGTCGAAAACGAGACGAAGCAGGATGGACACGAGTCAACAAGTTATCTAACCGCGTTTGAATCCGTTCATTGGGGATCCTGCTTTCCTCTGTGTCATCATCATTGATTTTTCTACCGGTACGCGTAACAAAACGAGTTTCAGCCAATCTGGATCAATTTTCCAATAATATTCTTTTTTACACTTTAAGAAAAGTACTCAGTTTTATTAAATATTGTTTTCCAAGCAATTTCAGAGAGTAGAATTTTTTAAATTTAATTTTATATTTTGGCCTATTTCACACTTACAAATAAGTAAATTCATAACATGAACAAAACTGGAATAAAGAATAATAAAAGAAGGACCTCAAGACCTGAAAACCCATCTCAACGTTACCAATAAACAAAGGAAACTCCCAAATATAACAAAAATAATATTAAACCTGACAAATTCAGCCCAAATATATAAACAAATAAGTTGGCGTAATTACTGATAAAAATGGCAGTTCAGGGCGTCACCCCTATATTCGAAAACGCAGCTGAAGAGTTAAAAAATCTATAAAAGGCATTTCTTAGTTTATAAAAAACGTAAAACAAAACCAAAGATATATCCTAAGATGACCTTGCTGAAGACGTATCAAACAAACTGAAACAAGGCTAATATATAATATAAAAGTCAACATTTTCAATCGATGAAGTCATGAATGTTGTTTAGACCAATTGGAAAAGTAGAAAACATTTCGGAACCGTTCTGTAAGAACAATGACTTTTGAAGAGTACCCATTTTTTTCATTAGTATCTAATTGATCAGTTTGTCAGGCAAATAAAATAACTATTTCCCTTATTCTAGATATGCATTGACCTTTATTTTCATTTACTATTGTTTTTATAATTTCAGATTTTTCCGTTTTAACTGTACTTCAAAACAAAATCATGAATTATGTATAATATTATATGTATACAAAAATATATAAAACCGTATGTAAAAATATTTAAAATATATTTCTAAAAGTATTTTCCCGCTTTTCTTTTATTTTATTTAATCACCGTCGATATAACCGTTTGTTTATAAATTACATTTTTTATTTATGGTTTCCACCACTGCTGACAGGCTTTTTATGTCATTCCCTTTGTCCCATAAACTATCAGTTTTCTTTGTCAAAAGTCAACATTGGTAAACGTTTTTTAAATATACATAAATTGTTGTTTAATGTATGTATTTCATGCCAGTGACTGCGTTTCTGCCGAAGTACGTGTAGATCCAGAGCCTCCTCAATCACAAATTTTGCATCGCAAAACCCCTAGCGATTTTAATGTTGTATACGACTATATGAAGAGTCGAATGTAAGCCTTTTTGCCGTTTAAATCAAACTCTTTCTTAGAGGATCCGGCGTTTTTTTCCTTCCCTCCTTTCCAAGTTAAGTTTTATTGGAAGAACCGGTCCGGAGGACTGAACAGGCCCAATGGAATATTCCAGCACTGTCTATGTTAAATAGAACGATCTGGCACGGTGGGAGCACTAAACTGAAATTCACGCTGTAATTTATAATAAATACCATTTTGACTAATAAAGACGGAAAATAAAACAGATCAAGAAACAAAAAAAAAATTGGAACAGAAAATATTGGATGGATGAAGAACTAGACAGTATGTCTCAATTTTTCTATCCATTATTAATCATCATATTTTTTATGGTGTAAAAATGATAAAATACTAAAATGACCAACGTTAGATAAATAAACATAGACAGCAGATGTTCAACGTAACGGTGTAGTTAACACCACAACCACAAAAAAAGAAAAAGCAAATTATACAAGATATTTTCTTCTGACCTCTCATTTCAACAAACAAAACTGAATAAAAGGAAACTTCTCGTAAAAATATAAAAGTCGTAAATCACATATTAAATACCACTCATACATCATAAACTCAATTGTAATTATTATACAGAAATTAATGTTACAGAATATTATTAGAAAACTATAAAAAAATTTAAACTGGAATAAGCTTTTTTAAGGGTAGTGTATTTTTGTTTGGATTGGTATCGAATACATGTTTTTATTATTTTTTGATATTTTTGGACATAACTAAATTTTGAGATGTGTACAAATGCCAACGAATTTTAATAAAGAAAACGCTTAGACTCTTAGTAGCAAGTTAATTTAAAAAATCAATATTTACTTAATAATAAATATTCAGAAAATTGTGTTAATATTTCCTTAAGCAATGGTCAAACTTCTGAAAGAAAAAATTACCAGTCAAATTGTACCCTTTTGACGCAAAATTTAAACAAAAAATTGTTCCAGAAGATTTTTACAATACATGCTAACATCAAAGTTATGAGAACAAAACAAAAATAAATGTTTGAATTCTTTATATTTTAAACCAAAAGTTTTAGGACTCAAGTAAATGTTCATATTTTTAGCGTTGTGAATTATTAGTAATAATTTCTGAATCCCGATGTCGAGGATATATTCCTCGAAAATTTGACAAAGGAACTGGGTATTTTTATTTTTATTTGGCTTTATTCCTGATCTTTTAAAAGGCTGATGTCGATTATATCCATGCAATGAGGTTTCACATTTTAATAGAGCAAAAAATTATAATCGAATCCAAAATCGATAAAAATATCAATAGTAAGTTTAAAGTAAGAGCGTTTCACTCATGGTTAGAGTTCTACTGTCAACCGGAATAATTTAAAAAATCAAACAGAAATAAATAAACGTATTTATGTGATGTATTTGACCGTAGTTTCAATCGACAAATATATACAAAAATAAAGCACAAAGATTGTAAGCATCAATTTAAAAAAAAATATATTCACTTGGTACGACCATTCTTGGGTACTAAAAAAGATGTTGTTCATGAAGAATTTAATTAACAAAGTAATAGAATCAAAAATTTACAAATCAATTTACAAAGAAAATTTAAAAAATTCCCAAATATGCATGATGAAGGATTTACAAGATTCTGGTTGTGATTAGGCACAAGCAAACGTTGTATTGTCAATCAGTTATAGAAATTTTATTTTTACTCTAGTTGACTATCGTTGATTAGTTTTTAAAATATAAACTCATAAAATCATGTATAATGATCAGTTGTCAATCGACTATTAGCAGTTCCTCCGTCGTATTTCTATCTATCTAACCCAAAAGTGTCTGAGGAAAATTGACATTCAATTAATTCACGACTTATTTATTTAGTGCTCACAGTTCCTCATAAGATTTAAGTTTAAAGTTCCAAATTTATAAGATTGGAAGATTTTGGACTTGTTGTAAGCTCATCTTCAGTGCCAAAGGGACCACTTAAATCAGCATAACAGAAAAAAACTTAAGATTGGTTTGACAGACCAGCATAGCGAGAAAACAAAGACCAGGATGATTGGTAACGACCGGAAAGATTTGATGAAATTATTTGAGTTGAAAATTTTGTTGGAAAAAGACAGAAAAATATTTAGTATAATATGTGATTAGATTGTAATGAACATTTAATAAGATTAAGAAATTTTACAAGCTTTTTGTTTTTTGATAACTTAGGACGCGTGTCGGCTTCTTGCCATCTTCATTGAGGGACTGTGAGTCAAAAAGAACCAGAAAGAAACCAAAGATCGGTTTGATAGACCAACATAGGGAGGAAAGACGGCCCAGAATGATTGGTAAGTAAAAACCGTTATTATTTAACGACCCGAGAAATCTGAGAAAACTACACGAATTGAAAATTTTGTTAGGAAAACATTGAAATGCAATACAATTTACAAGTTTGGAGATTTTTGACCTGTTCAAAAAGTGTATTTATGATCACAACTGTCAAATCATCCAGCACATATACCACCCAAATTATAAACATTTGGAGAACAAAAATCACTGAGGATCCTAGTTTACAGAAGATAAATGATACATTTCTATACGATTTATCTAATTAATTAATTTTACTTTTATTAACGATCCTCCTGGCTCCACTCACCGATAGAAAGTGCGATCATAGGCTTGTCGGGATTCGGTTCCAGGTTTAGGTTTTCCACGATGTGCCTTATAGGGTTGTGGGTGTTCCTGGCGAAGTTGGAACTTTCTACTTCGTCCCAGCACCGTCTTACCATCTTGCTATCTATTTCATAAGTGAAGAAGGGGTTGCCGTCTCCCTGCTGGATATATTTGTTCGGTGAAGCCGCCTATTGGCCAGCAGCTTCGAAACAGCCTACTTCCAAGGGGCTCGTCATCTTATGTAACGCTATGTATCGAATCAAGGTCGAAACGATTGATTTTTTATTTTCTTTATAATGTAAATTGTTGTTTAAATATTTTCTCATTGGTGACGTCTTAGGTTTCTTTTACTTTTTGCCTTTTGGTAAACGTAAAAATGAGTAAGAAACACAAAGCATTTTGAACTTTAGATTTTTTTTCTACAATATTATTTTCATATAATTTTTTTTTTTATAATCAGGTTTTTAAACAATCAAAATCTATAAATGAATTTCCTAAACATACACATAAGCATAACAATTTCAATTTTTTTTTCTTTTGAACAGCAGTTCTGTCCAATTTGACTTTCAGGAAACAACAGTATTTAAAGAAAGGTCGAAAGTTTTGTTTTCGATTTTGAAAAGGTGGCGGAGAGAAGAGTCAATTTCGCAACAATACAAGAAATATCCTACACAGATAAAAGCGAGCTTGTAAAAAGCGCATCTTACTTCGTGGAATTTTATTTTTTACTTTATTAACAAACAAAAATCAAAATTCTATTAAGTAACAAAATTACATGTTGCATACAACTTAGAGACCAAATCACGTTATTAAAGCTTAATTAATCTCGTTAATCTATGAGAATCTCGCGTGATCTCTGAGTAAACAAAAATATCAACAAAAATTTAATGTAAATACAGATTATATGCTACATAAAAACGTAGATCATGTAATGCTAGAGAAAAGAACTCCAAATCATTTAAAAAAATCGAACCGAAAAAACATCAAATTTAATGGTTTATCATAATAAAACGTGACACGTCATCGCGTTAATGACTTAAAATGGAGAGGTTGAACAGCTTTTAACTTAGCAAAAATTTCATAATTTTTCCCATTGTATGCGTTGGTTTTGGTAAACGGATGCCAAAATGAAACCAGTATACAATATTTATTTAGAAATCGTGAGATGCGGTCTGGTGTGATGTAGGTTTCAGAAAAATATTTTCTTTATCGTGCCAACGTTTCGATCTTTATTGAGATCATCTTCAGGGCTCAAAGTGTTTGTCTTTTGTGTAATTGTGCCATTCTTGCGTGTCGTGTCGAGAGTATACAATGTTTGAGGAAGAGCCACAACAAAACATATTTTGTTATAATTATCAATAACTATCTTTAACATAGTATGTTAAGTTGTGTTATCTAAAACCCAATAATTAATTTGATCATTATTTTAAATGCGAATTGATTCTCAAGTAACTTTGATCATAGAGGAAGTTGATGCTAAATGGTGCTAGTTGCCCCAACAACAGGCACAAAAGAACATGATTTTTCAATCCTTTTTAAATTATTAACATTGTAATAGAATCACAAATCAAAACAATATAAAAATCTTCAAACGAAACTGCTCCATTCCATTATAAAAATTTTGTTAAAAAACATCATAATGTTCCAGTGAACGCGATTAGATAGCAGGTGACATTCGGAAAAGCTCGATATTCACAAGTTTCAAGGTACAAAGGCATTTTTGAACTGTTGACCCGGTTTAAACTAGCATCATGTGGCAACTCAAACTTCCTCCAAAAGTGCCAAAAGTTCCGACTTCACAGAACGCCCACCACACTATAATGTAGTACACATATAACCCAATCCTAACCTAACTCTAACCCTAACCTTAACTTACTTTTAACTTTAACCTAATTTCTATCTTAACCTAACCCTACCCATGTGCACTACCCGGCAACACAAAATCGATTTCGCGAAAATGTGTGTATCCAGCCCAAAACATTTTTTTTTAAACATAGTTCCTACTCACGGTAAGTTGTTTTCCAACGATCCTGATTTCGAGCTTTTAGCTCATCATCAGGTTGAAGGAGTTCTACAACCTAATGATGAGCTAAAAGCTCGAAATCTGGATCGTTGGAAAACAATTTACTGTGAGTAGGAACTGTCTTTTTTAAAAGGATTAAACACCGCACTAACTCCATCATTCATCATTTCTAAACATATTTTTTCTGACAAGAATCTAGTCTCGCAAATAAATACTCTCAATTTTAGACAACTTTGTTGCTTATGAGGCAGTATGAAGTTGCAATTAAAATTTTTCTGGTTTTACATGTTTAAAAACGCTCTTCTTGGAAATTGAACATCTCCATTTTTTCCACTAGGACTTTTGGCGTATAGTCAAAATATCACAGTGTCCAGGATTTTTGGAAATTTGAATTGCAAACCGTAAGCGTTGCATATATATTTCAAATATATAAGTCTGATATTATTAACTGCATAATTGTTATTAAAAAGATTTATTATTAAAACAAATTACATATTATATTTACTGATACAAAAGTTTTAAAATTAAAAGGGGGCGAGTATAAATGATTTGAAATAATATTTAAAAACTTGTAAACGGTTATAATTTCCAGTTATGTATATATAATATCAATAATGCCATTCAAATCTACTACTACTTTTTTATATTTGACCGATTTCAACCCACCTCGGGTGTTGGCAGTCTATGGTCAGACCTCAGTCCAGCCACTGTGGTTCAGGTGGGCAGTTCCTAGATCCAAACACATTCACACTTGCACTCATTACGTACATTCTTTCCCATTTACATACCATTCACTTAATAAGGGTGGTGGAGTACTCGATATTCCTCCATCACCCTGCACCTATTATATAGCCTTACGGTCGTACTCAATATTCCGCCATCGACCCTTCACACTACACATTCACACTAATAAATACATTCACTCGTAACAAACGTTAGGTCACAAAACGATCGTTAATATTGTACAACAAAAGAACCCTCTTTCCTACAAAAATCGGAACATTGTACCCAGATACTCGCTGCTCTGCTCAAGCACAATTCTTCACAATATTGGGTGGCTTTCATACTTGCTCTTTAAATGGATCCAAGGAATTCCACCTTTCAATGAGGATAAACACACCAAAATCTTTCCTTGCTTGCCGTACATACGTGAGCTTTGGCTCAAAAATCATTACGGTTTTACATTTAAAAATTATGTATTATGTCCCCGAACTTCATTTTTGTTTAAATATATATTAAGGTTGTATGTTGTGTTTTAATTGTATGTTAAAATAAAAAATTCGTATCTTTGGAATTTCTAAATTAATTTTAGTTACTTGATCTAAGGCTCGTTCAAGCTAATATATACAAGTTAATGCATTTTTTTTGATTATTTGTCTTTCTTACTTATGCCGTCATTATATCATCAGTCAGAAATTCTTTTGTAAAAGCTTAACATTGTTTTCACCCTAAATAACAAATCAAATTGGACTTATCGAATACGATTCAACATGACTTTTATTATCTCACATTCAAATTGATGCCCGAAATTATACTAAAAGTTACAGTTATGGTTTGTTTATATTGATTGGACTTTTATATTTTCAATTTTAATAAGAAAATACGCAATTTTTCAAGTTGTACGGTCACTTCCAGACGGCATTACTCAGCGATCTACTTAGCATAATGCTCAAAGATCATTCCAAGGTGACGATATAACACGTGTTACGTTTTAATTTGTTATTCTTATTTCTATGGTGAGATAATCTATAAAATGATTTAGAAATACAACACTATCACTTTTCCCCTGAATTTCCAGGTTTTCGTTTAGTTTTTTCTTTCTTTTATTTAACTGTGCTCTTGGTGAAAATGAACAATGGTGAGCAATATCATGCTGATCTATTTATTGTTACCCAAACATAATTTGAATAAAATAAAATGGAATGAGCAGTACTAGCAGTTACATTTTTTTGTAATTAAATTTTGTTAGTATTTTTACATGTTTTCTGTTGTTACCTCTTAAGCAAATAAAACAGTATTTAATAAAACGTGTGTTTTGCTTTTGGGTAATATCTAACCGTATTGACAAAGTACAAGTTAAGTTTTCTTTAAGTTTGATTGTTCCAAAATATACATTATTGACTTTTTTCTGTCATGTACACATCTTTTCTTAGCTGTTGAGCGACTGATGTACAACGTAAAATTATGCTAAATGCGCCTGATATACTTTGCCTTTTCTCAAATGTCAAAGCAAATGAATATAGTATTTCATTGAGAAATAATGACATTTTATATCTGGCACAGCAAGAATTTGAAAATTAAGTTATATTTTTATAAGAATAAGAAATTAATTGTTATTTTTCCGAAGAAACGATAATTTCTAAGCTTGGTACTATTTGAAAATGCTTATTCCTTTTGTTGTACAACTCGATGTCCATTTTTCTCGTCACAAAAGAAGAAGTCACTCGGCCGGTTTCGTTCTTTTTCTTCCTTTTATATCATTCTATCTCGGACATCAGTCGAACAAGAAAATCAAACCAAGATACGATAAAGCTACTATAAAATTATTACAATAATATTAGTCATTAAAAATACGAATTAAAACTATTTTATTCGAATAAAAGCATCACAAAAGTACTATATGAAAAGTAATAAGTAATAGATATTTCATCATCTTTTTATTTCATATTTATTATTTCAAGATTAGGTGTTTCAACGATAAAAAAATCATTTCAAGTTTAATACTTTTGTACCATTTTATTATTGAATTAATCAACCACATAAAAGTAATCCAGGTTGATTTTTTTGGTTGATCATCTTCCATCACAGCATACCGTTTTTTATTTTGTAATACATTAAATTACGTCCATATTACGCACATAAAATAATACAAAGAAGTGATAAAGAATTTTGTCTCGCTTCACAAAATAATATACAAAGGAAATGCACAAATAAGCAAAGCAACATAGCAAACAAACATATACAAATCACGTAAACAATCTGATATTCACAGTTCAAACGTAGTATTTCTTGGGGAAGAGATTGGCTACTATAAAAAAAGAAGAAGCTTTTATTTTATAAAAATAATAATTATACCATGTTAGAAAAAAGAAGAAAAGTTTTAAAGTGCAACAGTTGTAGGA